TTACCCTGTCCTACAGGGGTGAAAAACAGATGTAGGTAATAAAAACAGCAGGAGAACAGAGTCTGGTCTGGGCATACTATGTCAATATCTAACAGTCTACTTTTGGGTTGGCAGTTTGGCGGCCTCTCCTTCACTAATCTTCACACTTCCCTACAATAAATTGCATGGCCCCAAAATATCCAACTGGGTACGTTAGTCCCATACCATGTCTCTTATATTTATTTTAGAATTTGTGTATTTTTGTACAAGCAAACTTTTCAAACTTAGATAGAAACGAGAAAATACCTGAATACGGACGTAATTACTGCTCTGGTTCTGACCAAAGGCCATAGCAACAGCGTGATCAACCAACTCGGCCGAGCCGTTGCCAGAAATCCTAGCTAGAGGTCGAGCCCAATCCTCAGCCTTCCATTTCTTGACTTGCTCAAACTCGAAACTACGTTCTAACAGCTGGCCACCAGTACCTATTGAAAGTACCAAGACGTCTTCGACTCCTCGAACAAATGGAAACTCCTCTTTGTTATGAATCACGTGCGTAATAGCTGCCACAGTTGGATTGTTCATGGTCAGTCCCCCGTCCACACCGATGCAACGGTTCATTCCGTCAACCGATTTCATGCAAACCGGGTCATAAATGCCCGGTACGGCCGACGTCGCCAAGCATACCTCCCATATGTTGAAGTTGTAGCTGTCCGTTTCTAAAGCATCCGCTCGGGAGAACAAAAACGGCGCCGTACTGGAGAGGTCATAGCACGAAATCAAAGCTGGTTTTAGCGTGTCCTTCAACGTTAAACTCCGCCCTGTTTTCTCATCCGTAAACGCCTGCTTCATCATCTTTTCCAGATCCGCCGTTGCTGAACTTGTGGTGGTATTTCCTCCGCCGCCATTTCTATTGAACACTCTCTTGAAGAAATTAGGCTTGGACTGACATGTGCGGTAGAATTTTTTCCCTTCCGCTGCGAGGAACTTCCACGTGTCTTCAGCGTCAAAAAGAGGCCGGTTCTGATCTTTAGTACCAAAAAGCATCGCCGTGAAAATTCCTCCGAAGCCAGTGCCGGCAGCAACGTCAAAATAATCCGCTATCCTGGCTGCCGGATTCCCCGACTTATCCTTCAACGCCATTTCCAGATACGAAATCGCTTTACCAGATATTATGTTGTGCATTCCACCGCCGTCGATGCTGAGAATGCAGATTTTACCTCTCTGGTATTTTAAGGTCTGAACATCGTCACCGTCGTTGACAACGGCGTTTGGTTGTTCAATGACCGGAGAGATTTGTTTTGGAATCCAAAGTTTCCTATCTTCGTAACCGAAGAGAAACTTTGATTCCAAAATCGAAAAAATCTCGTAGTTCAATTTGTCTGGATTGATACTGGACTCTTGCATTTCTGCTATAAGACTGTTATTGTTAATACTATCCACACACGCCATTTCTCAAGAAATCTGTAATCAAACTATCATCAATTTGTGTAGGCAAATTTCTCTTTGTGATGATGTGTCTGAAATGGAAGAACGAGTGGATTTATACATTTTTGACTGTGCAGTGCAGGCCAGAAAGAAGACGTGGTCAAAGGACGGTCACCAACCTAGGTCGGGTAGGGTCTAATTTTGGTTGAATTAATTAGGGACATTTACAAAAATGTCCAATTTTACATATATTAATTAAAAAATATCCACTTTTGATAATTTTTACAAAAAAATGGTCAAATTTGATACCAAATTCTCTATTTTACACTTAATAAAAGAATAAATAATTTCATATTGCACATGTGAAAACACAATTAATGCTAAACACAAAAATGTCGAGAACAATATTTAAAGTATAGAGAAATATCATATCATGAATAAAAATGTCATTCTAGACATTTAAT